TGAACATTTCAGAATTATATTTGGAGAACCACAGCACAGCACCTGCTGCTCTGGTGTGAAATCAGCATCTGAGGCTTGTATTCCCATGCTGTTTTTTTTATTAGCTTCCTCCTTCCTTTTCTGTGGCGTTAATGAAAATGTTGACGGACTGACAGCATGAGTTGGGAGTCAGACAGATTTGATGCTCATATCAGTTTCAGATTAATGTTATTGATGTTGCCATATTTGTTTGTTTCATACAAGGACTACAGGGAGTCTTTCTATGGCTTGAGGCTAATGCAGTTCTGATCCACATCCATAAACCATAGAAGCTGGGCAGAGTGCCGACTGCTGCCAATTGCAAAAGGTTTGTTTTGTGCCAAGCTTTTTGCAGAGCAAACATATGTACAGTTGAAGATCTGAGATGCTTCGACAGATGTGCCAAAATGTGGTAAAACACACAACGATTAAAGCCCATGCTGAGACATACATGCACCCTTACAGGTGGAACACTGAGGCTAGAAGGAGCAGCGGTCACAAAAGGTGCAGGACTTCAAGTACTTGGGGTCAATTATCCAGAAAAATGGGGAATGTGGCAAAGAGGTGAAAATGAGAGTCCAGGCAGGATGGAGAAAAGTTTCAGAACTGATTTGTGACAAAAGACTTTCAGAAAAGGTCAAAGGAAAATTTTACAAGACAGTGGTGAGACCAGCTGTGTTGTACGGTCTGGAGACAGTGGTATTGACAAAAAGACAGGAGAAAGAACTGGAAGTGGCAGAACTGAAGATGTTGAGGTTCTCCTAAGGAGTGACAAGGATGGATAAGATTAGGAATGAGATCATCAAAGGTACAGCACAGGTTGAACAACTGGGAGATAAAGTTAGAGAAGGCAGACTGAGATGATTTGGACATGTCCAGAGGAGGGACAGTGGGTATATTGGTAGAAGGATGTTAGAAACGCAACTGCCAGGAAAAAGACAAAGAAGAAGGCAGGATGACTTGCTGTGGCAACCCCTGAAGAGGGGTAAGCCAAAAGAAGAAGAAGAAGAAAAATGTAATGAGTCAGGCTAAGCTATACGTTGTCATGGAAACAGATAAAAACAGCAACTGCAGCATCACGGCTGGTTTGTTGGGATAAACTCCAGCAGGGCAGTGAATTGAGATGAAGCACACAGCTGAACCAAAGGAATTAGTCCTGGGTGTGAATCCAATTATCACTCCAATGCTCATAAAGGATGTAAAAATACTGAACAAAACCAGCTCTTCTCACTGCATCTAATGCCCCTTTTGCACTGCCCCTAATAAGCCCCAACTCTGCTCAGCCCTGCACACCGCTACTCAGCCTGGCTCAGCTCAGCCTGGATTTGCACCTGCACTTTAGGACCGATTCTGGAGGAGAGTCCAGAATCCATCCATCCATCCATTATCTTTACCCGCTTATTCCATTTTGGGTCACGGGGGTCGCTGGTGCCCAGCAATCACTGTGCGAGGGGCGGGGGACACCCTGGACGGGTCGCAAGTCCATCACAGGGCCACATAGAGACAAACAACCATTCACTCTCTCATTCACACCTAGGGACAATTTAGAGTTACCAATCAGCCTAACATGCATGTTTTTGGTCTGTGGGAGGAAACCGGAGCACCCAGAGAAGAGAACATGCAAACTCCACCCAGAAAGGCCCCTGGACCGGGGTTTGAACCAAGGACCTGCTCGCTGAGAGGCAGCAGCTCTACTAGTTGCGCCACCGTGCTGCCCAGTCCAGAATCCAAGTCCTGCTAATGAGAGTTCTGTAATGAGTTGCTCAAAGCAGTCTGCTCCTCAGATAAAAAATATAAAATTATTATTTTTATATATGAATGTTTCTGTTAACTTGTTTTATATACGAATATTTCTATTCAGTCCCCTGAGACAAATTCTGTTGTGACTTGGCACTGTATACATAAACTGAACTGAATTAAATCTGATGAACCAGATTCTACAAAAACATTTACATTTAAATCTAAAAAAGTTAAGTCTGGTCCTCTGGCCATTCAAAAAACAAAACAAACAAATAACGTAGAAACTTTTCGTCTTTCATCCACATAGATGTATGAGTTGTAAACAAGACTAAAAGTACTATCTGTATTACAATTACTACGTTTTTTTAAATGAAGAAAAAAAAACAGAGTTGATAACACTTCTTGAGCACATTTTAATTTTACTTTATACTTTATTATCAAAGCTGGTTTTGCTTGTACTGAGTAGCTTTGGTTTCCAATCAGCACTTTGACATTGCATGGTATGAAATGGTACAGTTAAGCTACACTTGGCTTTTTGCTTTGCCATTGCAAAATGTTTCACATAACTCATATAATCTTGTACTCGTTTAATGATACATCATCTAAAATCATGATGATGTATCATTAAAAGAAGAAAGCCAGGTGAAATAATCAAAATTACTATTAGACATCATCACGCTAACTCATGTCAAGCTCTGTTGATGTAGAACAGTGCATGATGTACATGAATGATGCAAATACAGTGGAAAATTATGTTTGTCAGGTAAATATTATTAGCAATAAAATACTGACCTTACAGGGAAGTAACTGTTCATCAGTCAAGTCTTCACGGTAAGATAGTCACAGTGGTGGTCTTAAATGGTGGGTGGACCAGGGGAAGAGGCAGACATGTAGAAGAAAATAGGTTATTTAATTTAACTATGAAACTGTCCATAAATACAATGAAATTAGTTAAGCAAACAGAAACTAATGGTGCTAACAAATGAGAATGTGCAAAAGGGCAAAAAAATCTATAAATGATACACCGTATGCACTACACTGAAGCAGACGACTAAATAAAGTGCAGGTGTGTTGATTGTAACTGAAAACAGGTGCAAGGAAAACAAGAATCAAACGGAACCAAAAATCACACGGATAAAATCTTACAAAAAAAAAAAAAAAAAGAGAACGAAACATGAACAATGAATTCAAAATGAAGTTACACAAAATAATGGAATATTCTGTAACAGAAGTGAGCTTTCAATACAATTATTTTGCTAGAGTTACATAAAAATTAGTTATTTACAGTGTCAGCCTGATAATATTTATTATATTAATATTATATATAATAAATACGAATATAAATATATTGGTAATACTGAGCAAAATTCTTCTGAAGGGGGATCTAGGTTGAGAGATCACAGCTGTTTTTGCAAATGGCCGTAAATTATTTTTCTTATGCAAACCAAAGTAGTTGAGTGGTCTGTTTGGGCTGACATGCCTTTGGAGCCAACCACACCACAAGCGGCTGTTCAAACTGCAGCAGCCTGACTATGAACTGTATAACAGTGGAAGTTAGACTGTATTGTTTTGCATTCATGTCTGTATTGATTGCTTAAATAGTTCTAAAAGGATTTCTTAATAATTAGATCAATAGACATCAAATAACTCAAAATACCTAACCTGTTGTGATTTTTCACAAGCATGCGCCTTTCTTGTAAAAATATTAAGCAAGACATTACTTTGTATTCCCATGCTACTGACTTTGGCTCCACCCTGGACACAGCCTTATATCCAAGGATTGCGCATTTGCTGTATAAATATACATGCAGTTTCTCCATTAGCCAGGCAGTGAACTCAGTGAAATGTGTCCTCCTATGTTGTACAATACTGCACAGCAGCTGATGATGCCCCCCCCCCCCCAACCACCACCACCACACACACACACACACAAGCAGAGACAAGTCTACTGAATGTCTGCTGAGAGCAGGTCACTGGAGCTCTGCAGCAGTACTCAGTGGAACAGAAAAATGGCTGGGGGGTGAACTGCGACTATGAAAGCTGCTGCTTGACATACATAATACTCAAATACCCACGTAAAAATTCACAAGCCATGTTTTTTCATACAAACGCAACAGATGGAGTTGAACAAACGTGGTTCAACAACAGAAACAGCGGGACATAATACACGGCATTACTTGTGTATTTGTCATTTTCATCAACTGCAGGTTGCTTAAATGCTAACTACACTTAAAAATGTTTGTGCTTAATGAAAACTAATTAGCTCACTAAACTCCACAAAGTTTTACAAGCACTAAATAGATCACCAAATTCATGAGGAATTGAAGCGTATGGCAAGGTGAAGTATTTAAAGGCAAGGACACCTGGGAGTTTTCACAACCTTTGTCTACATAATCCACCTCTGCTGTAATCATGTCTTTTGACTCCTCTCCCCCGTTGTGTGCACCCTTTGAAATGTCCATCTTTAGTCTGATTTAATATGCATGACACAGCTGGGGGCGTAAGGACACCAATTTGCTGGATAGTCATATAAAGTGGAAATATTCAGTGGATCATAGAAAGTGGACTTTGTTGCATAAGACAAAGACTTTGGAAAAGAAAGCACAACTATTATGAAATACAGTGGTAGAAAATAAACTGACATAAAATTGAGAAAGAGGGAAAGAGTGAGTATAAGAGAGAAAAATAAAACAAACAATAATCTAGATTTCAAAAATGATTGAGGACCTACCTATAAAGGAAAAAAGAGAAGACTGAGAAGAATAACATATTTTCAAAGACACGTGGAGGAGCAGATAGACAGAAAGAAAGGACAAGAGATAGAGATGGGTGGTGATGAGGGGATAAATGTTTTATGATATTTGTTGTTGTCATCCTTTGAGGAGCCGGCATCAAAGCAAAGGTCAAAAGTGTCATCAAAGACACATTCACACATCCACATGTTTCTCTCTTTCACACGCACACATGCTGTCTGTGAAACCTCAAATCGCTAAGACAAAACTCCAGAAACACAATTACATCACCTCAGCTGGATCCCTGCACCCCTCAGGCAGCCATTCTTCAGCTCCCAGGTGAGGTCAGCCCACCCTGGAGGGGGCAGTATTGTTCCAGGAAGATGGTTGTCTGGACATGTCCACCCCCTACAGAGATTTCCCTCGATTTGTCACAGCCTGAGGACAGGGGACTGGTCAGATGAGGTGAAAAGATAATACTTTTTTGTTGTTGTTGTGTGTGTATGTGTGTGTGTGTGTGTGTGTGTGTGTGCTTCCTTTCTTCCCAGTTTAGTTCTGTTTCTGGTGACATTTTAGACATCACTGCTTTGTAGGCATGGCATCTCGAACATCTGCAGGTTGCAAAACAAAAATGAAAATAACATTTAAAAATTCATTTAATTTCAAACCAGTGTGACTTGCAAAAAAAGTAACAGAAAATGAAATACATTTTAAAAGCAAGAAGAGCTTGAATATAAATAATAGCATTTCTGAATGTCTTACTGTTTACACTTTGCCTGTCGCTGCACTCAGCAGCAAACCTTTGCAACATTTACCTGCTTTAAATAGGATGACAGCAACAAAGAGATGACAGTCTTTCAGAATATCATTAATTAATTCAACACTGCATTTCTTTCAAGCTGCAGTTAACCGATAACTAATATTTTTGTGACAGGTTGGGGGTGGCAACATTGAACACTGAGCACAACAATGAGATGTCATTTTTTAATTTGATGCTGCATATTTTTCAAATTGAATATTTATAAGCTACATCTTGTTAAAGTAATCAAACTTCTTGCAGTCTTATCTCAGCTTAACTTATCAAAATCAGAATCAGCCTTTATTTTCATTGCACCGAAGCAAAACAAAATTAAAAATTAAAATTTCAGTACAGCCCGTCCAAGAAACACAAACAACCAAACAGCATAGACATGGGAAAACGGGAGTGACTGAGGCTGCATCCTCGAGAGGCGCTGCCTTTTTTTGTTAGATAAGAAAAAGGCAACACGAGGGAAAGAAGAGGTAAAAAAAAATCATATCTCACACCGTGTTCCTAACAGGACACACTAGCTATGTTTACATGCGCAGAATTCTCTGACCGGATTGAAATGTGTTCTGTTTGAATAATTCAAATGTGTTGTTTACATGGGCACAATCTGTTCATGATGAGCGTTTACATGCAGCGGGCTTTGTTCTGAACAGCAGTACTGACATGCGCAGAGTGGTAAACTCTCCTTAAAAAAAAACACCGAAGAAGAAGTTCTACTTCCGGGTGAACGTAAACAAACCTGAGCACTCAAAATGGACCTGCGACAGGTTTTAAGGATGTTGGAGACGTTATTGCACTCCCTGACTGAGCTACAGGTAATAGAAATCATTTTGAGCTCTTTAAAAGTTTCTAGTAGAAATGTTGTGTCGCTCACCGACCAGTTTTACTTCCCTGACATGCTAATATTATTAGCGTTAGCCAGGCGGAAATGGCAAAGTCGCACATGCGCAGTCAGGTCAGTTTTTCACCATCAGATAAAAATGAACAGATCAAGCGTTTACATGCGCACCGATCGGGTTTCGGATCGGCGTAAACCACCCGTTTCGTTCTGATCAGAAATTATAATGGATCGCGCCGAATACACAAAAAATAACCCGAACGGAGCGTTTACATGACACACTTTTATTCCGACCGGCCATTTGATCCGGTTACTTATGTCCATGTAAACATACCCAATGTGACGTTGCAAAAAACCTCAGCACAAAAAAAAACAACATACAGATGACACAATAAGATACATGTGGAGTGGGTGAGCGTGAGTGGGGTGAGGCTCCCAGCACAGGCTGTCCAAGAGAGTGTCACAGCCTCATGGCGCCTCACATCAAACCTAGGTTACCGCACGGGGGGGGGGGGGGGGGGGGGGG